GTTCACTGTCTTTTGAAATCACTAACAATTTTATTAAGACTTTTACAACTTGGTAGCAGCGGATTTAAAGAACTTTCCCCTTGTAAGAAAACCCCAAGCGAAACCCTGCCAAAATGGATATCAACCAGTTCACCACTTTCATGAAAACCTTTGAAACCCTCACCAAAACTCTCACCCAGGAGAAAGGAAAAGGGAAAGAAACTGCTGGAGGAAGTTCTACCGCTACCTCTGCTGCGCCAAAGATATCTTTGAGAATCCCTACGTTCAGAGGAGAACCTGGGGAAAATGTTGAAGTATGGCTGCGCCAAACAAAGAATGTCCTGTACGCACAAGGCGTTAAAGAGGAAGGAACCATGTTGCACTACGCCGCCACTGGATTTGAAGGTGTTGCCCTCCATTGGTTTGTGAACAAAGTCAAGAATGCTACCGGTGCTGCTTTCACCAACTGGGCCCAATTCAAGAAGGAACTTCAGGCTGCCTTCCAACCCCCGCACTATCAACAACATCTACGACGCCAGCTCAAAACCCTGTCCCAAACAGGAACGGTACAAGAGTACGCCTCCCAATTTAGGAATTTGGTAAGCCAAATTGATGATATGCATCAGTTGGATCGCGTTGCCTATTTTATAGAAGAATTGAAGCCAGCGACGAAAATGGAAGTGAGTTACAAGTCTCCCGAAACTCTTGATGATACCATCTACATTGCGATCCGCTATGATACTGCCATGTTTGGATTAGGCCGCCCGATAATGAGAAGCTACCCTCTGAAAACAAACCAATCATCACGAAGCTACCGGGGACCTGCCCCTATGGAATTAGACCGCACTGAGACGTACAAGAAGCCAGCCACCACCCAGAAGAAGCAGGTAAAATGTTACAACTGTGGAAAGATGGGCCACTATGCCCGAGACTGCCGATCAAAAAAACAGGACCCCAAAGCAAAAGTAACTGTCATTGAAGAGCAACCCACCACTTCGGATGCAGAATTTATTCACATCGAAGAAAACCAAGAACAGTTGCTCCGATTCAATGATAAGATTAATGGACGCCCTGCATGGATCCTGTTGGATTCTGGTGCCTCCAAAAATTTTGTAGATAAAAAGTTTGCCG